TTTTTTTTATTTAGAAGGATCTCTAGAATATATTATAAAAATTTGTGGGTTTTTTTTTTAAAGAACATCATGTATACAATATAAATTATATAAAATGTATTAGTATAAAAAGATTTGTATATATTATATTTAATAGTAAAGAAAATTCCTAATAATCATTTTTTATTTTTATCAGGTTGTCTCGTAAGTCCAGAACTCTACGGCCATTTGACCCATTGGTTGTCATCTCTGGCCAATGGTCGTATAATCCTAAGTCTCGAAGGAGGTTACAACATCAACTCTATCTCTCACGCGATGACCATGTGTACAAAGGCACTCTTGGGAGATCCTTTACCAATGCTGGATCCTGATCTCATTCCTTGCACTAGCGCGATCAATTCCATCAATAACGTACTGAAGATTCACAAGAAGTTCTGGCCTAACCTACAGTATGGAATGTCTTTACCAAAAGAGAAACTACTTCCCAAATTTAAGACAAAACCTAACAAACGTGAAGAGCAAAGAAAAAATGCGGATAAATTGAAACAAATGGAACCAAAGATCGCCTTAGAGGGAATTGAGAGCGAAAAATTAGATTTGAACCTGGCGATTGATAAGAATTGTTTAAATCTAGTGACAGACGAGGAAATTTCGAAGTTAACGTGCGAAGTGGAGAATATTAAAATAAAAAATTTCGAGTTACATGCAATGAAAAGCGAAGCGGTCGAAGCGAAAAGAAATCCTGAATTGAAACCAAGCGAAGCAAAAAATTTGAATGGTACATACATACTGATTTTATTTTAATTAATTTTAATTGAAGTAGATAATTATTGTGTTTTAACTGAGAAATATAATTGATTAGCAATTTCACAAAGTGTACAAAAATGCGTGAACGAGACGCAGCAATCAAGAGGCAGCCAGCAAGGCAATTCTGACATACGTGAGGATCGCGATGATGAAGGCGCAGCATCTTCACAATCTGAGACACGACCCTTAACTCTTTCGGAATATCTCTCTGACAATCTGCAGGTGAAACTTTTATTATCATGATATATATTTTTTTATTTGTAATTTCTTTGAGATTATTGATGAAATAATAATAAATAATTGATTATTGTTATAAGTGTAAGTGTATACTTATTTTAAAATGAAGAATATAAATAAAACAAACAGGTATTACGTGTTTTTTTTGCTGTGTAGGCTCTGACAGCAGGAGAAATGTTTGCAATCGTGCCTCTGCAAGATTGTCCACATCTGTACACAGTCAACGAGGTTCCTCCAGGTGGAATTGACGTAACTACACCGTGTGTCGAATGTGCCAGTATTGAAGAGAATTGGATTTGCTTGCAGTGCTATACTGTGCATTGCGCCCGTAATATTAATCAGCATGCGATGCAGCATGCAGAGGAGTTTGAGCATCCCATCACGCTCAGTTTCAGCGATATTTCTGTCTGGTGCTATGGTTGCGAAGCCTATGTCGATAATCCTGTGAGTTTTTCTTTAATATTAAAAGTTTTTCTTTAATAAGATAATTAACTTTTACAACAATCTAAATAATACTTTTTTATATTAAATTTGATCTGTTTTTAACAGTCTTTATACATATTGCATTTTTAGCGATTATATGCGGCAAGAAACGCAGCCCACCAAAGCAAGTTCAATGAAGAACTTCCCTGGACTTATAGCGAAAGTGCATGAACACACCTTAAGTAATTAAAAAATATATATTTTAAATAATATAATAAAAAATATATATCTCAGGTTGGTTTTTTAAGCTTGATGCACGATGAGATAAAAAAGATGGCTAATAAATAACTGGTCTAAAAATATGAATATATGTCATAAAACATAATATCGCAATGTAATTAAAGTCCGTATATAAATAGCTGCTATATTAATTTTACTTTCATAATTTTGAATATATTAAAAACGTGAGAATATTAATTTTAATAATTTTCGATTTTGGTTAGAATGCTGATTAGAATTTTTTTAGTGTAATACGTGTATTATATAAAGATGAACGGTAATGTTTTCATAAATTAAAAATTGATATGTTGAAAAGAGAGAAAAAAGATATTAATCAGGGATAATATCAAGGACTGCTCGAGAAAATAATCAAATTATAAAAACGTTAATAATGTACTGAAATAATTTATTATTAATGCCTCATTAGAAATTATAATTGTATTAAACTAAAAATACCTCGTATTAATTGAATTGTAGAATTATATATAGTGTCCCGACATAAATTCAGCGCCTCAATAAATAAATAATTTCTGAGAATTTGAAAAATTTTTGTTTCTTTCATAAATAGTTTCAATTATTTGATTCATAAAATATGCAATATTTCGCTGAAAAATTTTCGGTACACTATGTATATTATATTTTTTATATAAATATATATATAGATATATTTCGCTCTTCGAGAAAACGATCTCGGACTAATAATAAATCTATTAAAGTCATTTACGAGAAAGAATATAGAATAATAATATAATAATAATAAGAGGCTAAGCATCATACAAATCGTTACATCAGAGAAAGTTAAATTTATATATATTTTTATTTTATTTTATTTTTTAATATTATGGCGAATTCGATTGGAATGCACCAGTGCAGGGTGATTGCACCAGTTCATCTTTTTTCCTTTTCCCTTCTCCTAAAGAGAAAAGGAAAACAAATGAACTCAGGTGCACTCAGTGCGCACTAGTGCATCCAATCGAATTCGCCATTAGAAAATACTCATTCCATTTTCAGTTGATTTTCAGAAAAGAGAGAGGAAGAAAATAAAACAAAGAAGTTTTGTTTTATTTTTTATATTTTATTTATATGTACCTTCAATTTTATTTTAGATGCTTCGATGCATTACAGCAATGATTGGTTTTTCTGTAAGAGATCTTACAGGATCACAGAGATGCTCTTAAGTATATTATATCGAGATTTTATTAAATTAACCTTATCTTCTCTTGATACATAGTATAAACTTTCAACAAAAAAAATGGAACAAAACAAGTAAAAATAATTTTCAGTTATTAGTTGATATTTAATATCACTTCTTAATTACGCCCTATTAATTTTTTTATAAGATCTTATAATCTATATAATTTATACAGAAATGTGTGGAAAATTATTCCCATCATTTTCTATCCATTCTCACATACGAATACAAATTGCTTTGCCTTAGGAAAGTTCTTCCTTCTGTGTATAACATTGTTCTCTGTGTATTTGCTGCAATAAAATACTGCTAATTTTCTGAATTTTTCTTCTGTTAAAGAATCTGTACTAATAATTAAAAATAAAAATGTAAAATTTTGTATTCATATCTGTTGTTAATTAAAATCCTCTATATTATTATTCTTTTATATCAGAAGACACGGTAGTGTCGCTGCTCTTGCTTGACGCCGAAACACTACTGTGTTTCCTAAATAAAATGAATTTTTGACTTATTTTAGAATCTTGTTCAACAATTACAGACATAATGTTCTCTCTTCAGATGTTTTATCTGAGCGATGATGAATCAGTTATGTATTTGACGCTCTAGTGTAAGCATGTCACATTAAGAAATTGTTAATTAACTAATGTTAATTAACGAATTCAGTTTGTAATGATACCTAATGATACTAAATCTTCTTTCATTTATTGATTTATTCCAAAGTTTCATGCGTGTAATTAAAAAATGTAATTAAAGACGATCTTACATTGAGTTCGCAAGAATTTCGCAAATTAATTATTTCGGACGTTTCGGCTCCGTTCGGGTCATCATCAGCGACATCAAACAATGAATGCAGGCATTATTCACATCAGTAAGGTCCGAATGAGCAGCCACAAGAGCCTCTTTAATTCGATATTTTGAGAAGTTTCAATATTAATTAATTGTTTAGTTAAATGTCACTGAAGGTTGAAACACAGAAATGAAATTAATAAATTATAAAATAAAAATTAAAAAATTAAAAATATAAAATTAACCAAATTCTCATCAGCTGCACACTCTGAACTTACATAACGCAAGGGGAGAAAATTATTCTTGATAAAACTAACGAACTTGTCAAGAGATATTGTTGGAATGATGTGAAAGATATAAACACTATAGGTGAGATACACGTCAAGAAATAAAACTTATTATCTATACAGAGTACATGAATGTCATAAGTTACAATAATTAATACGTTAAAAATGGCGAATAAGAGTCAACTTACAATTTTAAAATCTAAATCTGATAATTTATTCTAATATTCTATATTGCGAAGAATATCACGTAATTTTTTGGCGTTTTGTCCCGGCTTCCACTACTGGACTCATCAGTAAGGTATTGTAATGGAAGCCTACCTTAGACGCCGGTGTAAGTTATTAAATCGAGATTCTATATAAAGAGATATACGCGTGTCTCAGCACTTGCGAGAATTTGCGAATATCGATAGACCTCTGATGGCGGGTCGACGTAGTAATATTCTTCGCAATATTTATCCAAAGTAAGAAATAACGTTCTATTAATATATGTAGTCCCCCCAAATTGCGCGCCGAACAATTGTCGGTCTTGCAACGCAAATCTAATAATCTGATTTTTAAATGTCCCCTCTTCTTAATTATTGCGCGCCGAAAGATTTTCGGTCTTGCAACGCAACTCTAATAATCTGAAATATCCCCCCCTCCTAAATATTTAAAATTGTAATTTGACTCTTATTCTCCATTTTTAACATATTAATTATTGTTATATAAAAGAGTCCTTTAATTCTTCAATTATTTGTTTTCATAAGTTACAATTAGTCAAAATGGTGTTATGATATAGAAAGTAGAATTTAAAATATGTTTTAATATGATTATTCAATCGAGATAGAATTTACAAATTAATTGTTTTGCAAAACATTTTAACAGATTCCGGAAGATTTAGATCTTTAATTCAATGTACATAAAATCTGATTAAAAAAACAATAGAATTAAACACCTATATTTATATTTGTTGAATCAACTTTATTCAATATAACTGCCAATTATGTTCAAATAGGTATTACACGATAGGGGAGACTGGGATATATAAAAATAGTTCGACGTTGAAAGCGTCAGTGGATCAATCGCACGCTTAAGGCGACGTCCAAAGGCGATTCACAAGTTTTACATTTCCAGTCAAGCGTGTTGTATGGGTTATTCATACTGTTCCTCTTTTTATTAGCCTTTTTTTTTAATTTATTCATTTGTTAATTAATTTTGTGTCGATTCGGGCACTAAGTATTCAATTTTTAGCAACATTAATCTAAACTGTTTAACATACTTATAAATATCTTTTGCAGTTTCGACGATACTGCTAAAAATGCTATCGTGCCTTAAATTTAATAAATGTTCTAGCCCGTCGAGCGAATGCAGTGACGGTAATTTCTCCACAGAGACGTGAGGATAAAAAGTCTTAACTACACGAAACCTGAACAAGTGTGAATTATTGCTCGATAATTTCTCGAATTCATTTATCGCAGATGCTGGTAATGCATAATACAATCTATAGGGAATCTTCTTAATAGTAAACTTCTCTTCGCAATCTCTGATCCTCTTAGTGATGCTATCAAATACCCACGGCAGAGGCTTGGAGCCTTGCTCGTATAAGTGAAAGTCCTGCGTTAGTTTGTACTTGTGATTACTGCTACTGCGATAAATCCTACGAGTATTTCGCAGCTGTAGTAACGCTGTGGGCAGCGAATAACTATACGATGTGTACAAGTGCACGTGAGTAAGATGCGGTTTAGTCTTCAACTCTGTTGTAACGTAAGACACGAGCGGTAGAATTCCGCCCTGATGCGCAAAAGCATAGAAGAGAGCCAGCAATAGATTGCTAACATACCAGAGCATCATCTTCCTGGACTTATGCTTCGTCGGTTTGACAGGACTAGAAGACTCGCCATTTGCATATTTTTGAACGATGTCCAGACTGGGGACTTGACTTAGCTCGGGCGCGTAAAGAAATACCAGTGGAAACAGCACCGGAATTATGAAGCGAGGTTCTTGATGAGGAAAGAGAGATAGCAAGGCGACTGGAACGATGAACGTGAATGTCATCAGGCTTACAATACTCTGCAGGCGTGGTAGATGCAACCATTGTGCCTTTAGTCCGCTAGAAATAAATATTATTGTCAATTAATTGTTTAGTATCAACTGTTTCAATATATATAGTTCTTTTAAACAACATCCTCTAAAACTTATTTCTTTTCAATTAAAAAAAATGTTTCAGATAAAAATTGTATGGCTTGAAAAGAGACAAATAATGGTAAAATTAATTTTAAAAAAAAATCAATTTATGATCATACGAAGATCATGGCTATTTTTAAAATAGAATTATATAATTCATTTTACATGACTTCTTAATTATTCGCATATATATTGTTTAAAATAAAACTCTGTACACGACTCACCTGTGTATCATTTTCACGAATGTCAGCAATCCAATAATCCCTAGAACGTTAAACAGGAGCGGAATGTTCACTAGAAGATGCAGGAAACGAGGATGCAATCCATGCGACTCCAAATTCTTCGTATTCGCATTATATCTGAGAAAATTAACCGGTGTCACCACAAAGTTGTTAATTCCGACCTCCAATTGACCTATCTCTGCCATCGTTAAATATCCAAAGTAAAAACTGTCGACTAGAATAAAAAACAACGCAGCCGGTAATCCACAAAAAACAAAGACGATCATTCTAAGGTGGAAGTCTTTGAAGTTGACGCTTTTCGAGTTCAATCCTCTTTGCAGCCAGAAGAAGGTGGGAACAAAGGCAAATGCGATAAAAGTCGGCCTGTTGAATATCCCTATCACCGTTAATGTGGCCACCACAAAACAGTCATTAAGGGAATGCGAGGGTAGCGATGCTTTGAGCTTGTAGTACTTGACTCGCTCTACGGCAGTCGCTGCTTCATTGTATTTCATGGAGAGGTAATCACTCTGCAATACCACCTGACACAAAACAATAAGATTTCAGTTAAAACAATATGAGATGCAAAAAATGACTGAACATTGTGTGAGATCTCTTTATTATACAGATGAAGAAGAACACTTCGCAATAATATTAGGAAATTAGGTAACATAAATTAGTTTTTCTACGTATAATGTAATATAATGTTATATAAGTATAGTGCAAAGTATAATGTTCTCACGTATAATGTAGCTTATTTATGGTGAATAAAAAATGTTATAAATACGAGGTTCAATAATAAATAGTTTTTTAGCTATAGTGTATCAAAGGTAGAAATGGGAAGTGTCACTTTTTTTCCATTTTTTATAATAAATATGACGTTGCAATTTTTTTTATAATTAAACACTAAAATTGTGCTAAAATGGGGGAAGTCGACTTTTCTAATCTTAATATAACTTTAGCTCTTTTAATTATAAAAAATTATTATCAAATTGTTTATTATAAAAAGTAATACTTTCCAATTCTGATTCAAAAGTGCTTTGTAAGAACAAGTTTTACATTCCTTTAGATATACATTAATAGCTCAAAAAGTATCCATTACTGAATCTTGTGTCTTTTGTTCACCACAATATAAACTATACTACATAAATATGAAAATTCAGTCTACCAAAATCCAACTTTCTATACACACAAATTAACAAATTCTTTATTTTAAAAACTAAATTTCTCAAGTCTTTATAAATTTCATTTTATGAATTTTATCAATTTTTTTTTATGTTACTTAACCTTTGAAGAAATTAAACGTACCTTCTCTGAATATGCCATGCAACGGGAAACAAAGTACAACAGTGCAGCTGTCAGTACCAATTCAATCGAGTTGGACAGTGTGCGGGTGGCATAGGTCAGCATGACATAAGAGCTAGCATACGTGACAAGCCTGACTTTATAATTCTGTCCATACATGAAACAGATCTTGTACAGAAAATAATCTGACAGAAAAGATAATGCACACATAAAAAGCCGAGGGAAGAGCACGAAGAAGTATGGTCTCCTCAAGGATACTCCAAAGAAGTAAAATGTATATGGAGACAATCTGTTGAGAATCGCATAAGGTAAACCAACGATAATTTGAGGAATGAACATAGAACGTATGGGAAAGGTGGTGTTGAACTCCCATGGCTTGTAGACATCAATATCAAAGTGGTCTCCTATAAGAAGTGAATAAATAACTATATTAAATGTACAATGTAATACAAATGCTGACACAGCAGGATGGTGACATACCGGAGATAACTTCAATGGATTGAAAGAACTCATCGGGATGAATGTAGCCTGTCTGTGAAATAAAAGTAAGAACTATTCTCAATGCTGCTAAAATCCAATAGAGTCCGATCCTACGCTGTACAGGTGCTTCAGTTTGGTAATCGTCGATGGATCTGCGATATTCATTTTTATGCTGAATAGAAAAATTTTACATGTGAATATAAATATATAAAATTATAAAGGTTTATTTATAAAAAATGCAAAGTCTTCTTATATTAAAATTAAAATTTAAATAAGATATTCATAATTCTTTTTCTAATTAAGGTTTCTCTTATTTTCCAGATTTATTATACAACTTTCATTAAGTCATCATGCACTTTGAGACAAAAATTGTACAAACATTAATATTCAAATGTGAACTTACTTTCAATGACATGTTTTTTTGGAAGAATTAGTTCATCATAACTTAACTCTCAATAACCGTTTTTGGACATTTATTCAAAAACAGAAAAAATTATAAAGTCATGAATTACAGCGAGTCTTTTCTATTTTACTACGATCGAAATACATAGAAAGTTGCATTGTAATTGCGATATTCTTTATCAGAAGCATTGTTTGCCAGATTGATTGACAAACAATATGAAGTTTGTAGTTCGGAATCTTCTTGTTCCTGTTTGGATTTCCGACCCAAAGTAGAGGGTCACATGCGAAAATATGAATCCGTGTCTTTCGTAATTAACCTCTTCGAGAAGCAGAGGCTTCACAAATTAAAACTATAGATTACATGGCGTGTACAAAACTCGAAATTTCGGAAACCACTTCTCCTTCTTTAATTAATGACTCCCTCCTCCTAAAAAAGTAATATAGGAAGTCGATACGGCCAAATCACGTCTAAAATAGATTACGTCTTTGTTTTTGGGTACATACAAAAACAAGTAAAGCCCTAAACACAAATGCGAGGGAATAGCAATAGCGATAAGTTCCAACTTATCAGAAATCGAATACACCGGAATACGCATTTTTGATAGGTTGAAACTTATCGCTATCGCTATTACCTCGCATTGTGTTTAGGGCTTAATAGTTATTGCTGGAAATGCTGGTCACACTGCATCCGATTTTCGTCGTACGACGATATATACTGTGACGATATGATATCCAATAGGAGAGCTGGTTTTCTAGATAGCTAAACATACTCGATCATTCGGCAAGCGTGCATCGCAGAGTCATACCTATAGCCACTTTGTCGTTTTGAACTCGCCCAATATTTTCATACGATGGTGCTTGTCGTATATATCTAGAAAATAAGCTCTCCTATTGGATATCGTACTGTATACGTCGGATGTCGTACGCAGTAGGTCTGTTCTTTATTGCTGAACTTCAGTTTATCTTTTTTCTTTTTCCCTTCTTCTGGAGAGAAAAGGAAGAAAGATGAACTAGTTCAAAAGTTCAGCAATAAAGAACAGACCTCTTGTCTCTAGGTGCCTTGCAGTGCAGCCAGACAAAACGGAGTTTATTGATTTGGAAGGTGCACGTCACAACAATGGCCGACAATGGACGCTGTGACTTGTGAACGATTCGTCCGCAAGCGATTGTTTATCGTCGCCTCGTTGTCGAAAATTTTTTAACATCGTTAATTCATGCTGCTGCAAAGTCGGGAATCGTGCGTGTCGGTGCTGTGATCGCGTCGGATAATCTCGAGCGTGCTTTGGTGTGAAGTGTGTCAGTGAAGGGACAAAGGGTGTCACGTAAGTGTGTGCCGAGCCCTCGGGAGGACTCGTCAGAAAAAAAAGAAACGAAAAAATATTGCGAGGACTTTCGAGGAAAGAGAGAGAGAGAGAGAGAGAGAAAGAGAGCACTAACGACAAGAATTCTGTATTTAGTGGTTTTAAACAGCTTTGCGACGAACTTTTCTAGATAATTAAAAATTTTTTAAAAAAGCGCAAAAAAGAAAGAAAAGAGAGGAGTAAGACCTAGTAAACAGTCTCCCGACGGACTTTTGACGTGTTTGACGCGTAAAGTAAAACGGTTGTCATGCTGTAAAATCTGTCCATAAGTAAACGTCTACTTGCTGAATGAAGGAGTGTGCATAGAGGATAAATAAGAGACGAGGCGATCCGGATTAAAAAAAAGTTCCTCCATGCTTTCAGAGACTTTGTAGAACCGGCGTCCTTTGTGCCAGCTTGCTCTGTGTTACTACAAAAAAAAAAAAATGTTATCATAATCTCAAGGACTGTTTATAAAAAAAAGTCGTAGTTTATATTCCATCCAGATTCTCGGCCGAGCTCTTCGAAATCGTGCCCGAGTCCGGCCATGTGTCCCTATCGATTTGTGTTAGGCGTAGCCGCTTTAAGAGAGAGTATTCGGGACAGTGTGGACTTTCCGCTCGATTCGGAATCCCTGAACTATCCTCGCTGTACACTATATAGTCCCTTGCTACCGCATTATTGTCGTAAGATGTACGAGAAACGTTACGATACATCGTTCCTCAAGAGTTGCAGCCCCTGCGTGGTTCAGTGACATAATAACAAAGTCTCCCTTCTATACGTTGCAGGACGCCTGGACCAGCGACAGCTGGTATTGGTCCGAACAGTTGACCATGGACAGCAACACAGAAGGTGACAACCTAAATCTCAGCTCTGGCGAGAACGACAATGGTGACGAACTTAGGATTGCTGCAGACGAGACATATGACACTCGCAGTGAGGTTTCCTCCAGTAGCTCTAATTCTGATAGCTCTAGTACCCATCCCACCATCAGCTCGGTCTCGAGCAAGTCCTCGCGTGGTGACAATAAGCGCAGCAAGAGGAACAGGAGCAAACGAGACAGATCTAGGGACTCCAAGTCATCCAGTCCCGAGCCAAAGCGGGCCAGGTCCAAGGAAAGCAAGGGTACTACCAAGAACTATGACTACACTACCAAGTTGAATTATTTGTTTAGAGACGCAAGGTTTGATGAGTTGATATATTTTTAATGGATTATCTAGATTAGTACATAAATATTTCTGAGTCTATTTTCTTAGATTTTTCATCATCAAGTCTAATAATGCAGAGAATGTAACACTGTCTAAAGCCAAGGGAGTATGGAGCACACTGCCACAAAATGAAGCAAATCTTAATCAAGCCTATAGAGAATCACGAAATGTTTTGCTGGTATTTTCTGTAAAGGAATCAGGGAAGTTTGCTGGCTTTGCAAGACTTAGTACAGAATCGAGACGAGATGCTGGTCCAGTCTCTTGGGTATGCAAGATAAAATATAACAACATAGTTATTGATTTCAATATTTGATTATATTTTTGTTAATCACATAGGTCTTAAGACAGAGAAAACAAAGTCATGGAATGTATTTCAGGTTTTACCTCCTGGATTGTCAGCTAAGGCTTTAGGTGGCGTATTCAAAGTTGACTGGATCTGCAGGAAGGAATTGCCTTTTACATCTACGTTACACTTGTATAATCCTTGGAATGATGGTAAACAAGTCAAAATAGGTCGAGATGGCCAGGAAATTGAGCCCAGAGTTGCTGAAGAATTATGCAGATTATTTCCAGAAGACGAAGGTATCTGTTTTTTGTATACAAACATTTTACATCTTAATAAATAATATTAAAATATGAGTATTTATGAAATATCTTATTTTATGTGTGCGTTTATAAATTATATATTTTTCATGTATCTAGATCATTTTGTATTAATAAATCATGTAGCATATAAATATTATTCGTGTTTAAGGAATCGAAATGACGCCTATCTTGCGAAAATCCAAGGAAGCAGGGAAACATGTTGTAAAATCATCACGTTATCGCGACAAAAAACCTATAGGCAGTTTTAGATTTTTACGAAGAGGCGGACGAGGGCGCAAATTATTCTTGACCTCGAGATCACGTTTAGCATCACTAGCCAGATCTCAAGATGTTATAGGAAATCATAGGAGTTCTAGGGATCATTCTTATCGATATACGCCTTGGTTCAATCGAGGCGATTCATCTTACACAAAGTATGATTATTTAATATCGATCATACATGGTATTTAAGATTACATAATACATACATAAGTTTTTTAAATTTTATATTGTAATGTATGATATATACATTAACGCTGCAAAATTATTTAAATTAATGTTTTTTTAAAGACTGATATATATTCTTACAATTGTATCACAAAAAGATGCTTTAACGATAATTAATTTTTTTAGGGGTTATGGAACTGGATTGGGTGTTGCTGCGGTTGCAGAAGCTTATGTGGCAGATTACATGCGTACTATGCAACATCAATTACCTCCATTACCACCTTACCCACATCCGTATGATAACCTGCCACCACCTCCACCTCCAAGGTAAATGATACATTTTATTAGTATGAGTTGAACGAGAGAGAGAGAGAAAGGGAGGGTGTGGGGAGTGGGGAATTTTCTATTAGAGACGTAAGATTGAATAGAAATTCTTTTTCAGATATTATGATGGTCTACCATTACCTCCAGATTACAATGCCACAGTGTCGGCACTAGAAAAACGTAGCTATGAAAGAAGTGTGGATGAATTCCTGTGGAGGACAGCTAGTCGTCACAATCGGCACAGCAATCATCGTTCTTCTCGCGATCATCACAGATACAGAGATCGCAGATAAAGATCTCGATTTTAGTGTTCGCATGAAAATCCGTCGGTTCCCAAATCCTTCATTAGTGATGATAGAATTGGAGATGATTTTAATGATGAAATTAATAAGAAATTTAGCTAGAATATTGTTTATTTGACTTTGAATACTTCTGAAGAACATAATACAAAAATATATATAAGTTTAATATAATTGTATATAACGTAATAACGTTATATGTATATTATATACTTATATAATAATATATATTATACAGGATGTTTGATAATTCTGCCAACAATACTGGTATGCTAATAGAGTAATTAACTAAATAGAGGACTAAACTAACAATAAGATGAAAAGTCCTCTACATTTAAAAAAAAATTTTGCAACAGGTAATAAGACATCAGTTATTAAAAATCACTGAATATTAGTTTTCAATTATTTTTTACTCTAGTACTATCAACTTTACAGAAAAACGCAAGCGACAAAAATTGTTTATTTTCTTCTCATAGAATTTTTTTTAGAATATTTTAATACTCCATTTTTTCGAGTTCGTAAAAATAGTTGGCAATAAGAAAATGCTAGAGTTGATAAAAAATTCTGAATAAATTCTTAGAATTCTGAAGAGAAAATAAACAATTCTCGCACGGATGCAAGAGATCCGGCTGAGGTAATATTTTTTGCAATAACGAATTAATTACTTATAGATTTTAGTATGTTGTTCAACATTATTATAATCGACCTAAGATGCGTAAAGAACATCAAAAATTGTTAATGTTAATTTAAGTCGTAATATTATTGCGGTAGAGTTTGCGTTTTAAGTCCGAAAAAAATTCGACGCTCAGTTAAAAAGATTACATACGTAGTATACAAATTCATACACGCAATTATAGAAGTATCCAAGATCCAGCTTGACCGTTAAGGCTTGTTTCTCATTAATT